TATACAAATGGTACGCTTCTGTTTTATGGGCCGTAGTGGTTAAATAATGAGAAAAACTCAAATAATGAAAAACATATTTCATGCAATTTAATTCAAGATATTTATAATTGAGTTAAAAAAAACTTGATATATGCAAAACATTAAGAACATTCCTACAGTTGAAGAACATATGGAACTCAAAACAACTGTTAACCGATATCAAAGTCAGAATATTTAATACGAACGTCAAGACAGTTCTACTGTATGGAGCTAAAACTTTGAGAACTACCACAATCATCATCAAAAATGTGCAGGTATTTATAAACAATTGTCTACGTAAGATACTGAATGTCCGTTTGCCGGAAACTATCAGCAACAGCCTGATGTGGGAGAGAACAAACCAGCTTATAGTTGAAGAAGAAATTAGGAAAAGACGTTAGAAGTGAATAAAACACACATTGAGGAAATCATCAAACTGCATCACGAGGCAAGCGCTAACTTGGAATTCTGAAGGGGAACGAGAAAGAGGGAAGTCAAAGAACGCATTACGTCGAGAATTGGAAGCAGATATTGATAGCAACTGCAAAGAACTGGAAAGGATTTCCCATGACAGAGTTGGATGGAGAATGTTGGTAAGCGGTTTATGCTTCTCCATAAGGGGTAACAGGCTCAAGTACAGTTTGTATAACATAACATTGTTCACACAGTTTGATTGTTGGAAATGTGGGTAATGACCGATATATTTCAGATTCGTCAAAACGTCTTGGTCTGATTTATTTCTAATGCTTTCTTATCAGTCAAGGAATCTCTTCTTGTTCATGATATATTAAATATCCCAAAGTCAAGTCATTTATACAGACATAGATCAAACTCGTAGTAGTTACACGTAATCGTGAATAGACTGGTGCCTACAAACCAGGTCAAGAAAATTCTGATGTTTTTGATAAAATCTATCTCGTGAAAATACATAAAGTCTTCAAGTTCTATTCAATACTCTATCAGCAGGAAGTTTAATGTTCCACGTTTTCAGAAAATGTCATACATAATTAACAAAATATCCAAATTGATATTTTCCAATTATCATTTAATAGCTACTGTTGTTGTTCACGAAGTCATATGAAGATTAAATAAAAGTATTATGCCACGATTCTTTCAACACAAAAAGTTTCCACTATTTATTATACAGATAACAAAAAAATAAGTGAATTAGCAGTAGTGGTACACAAATGTTTTGATGTGCTGGAAGAAAGCGACTTAATGGAAGTCTGTTCTATATTATTTCAGCTGATTGATTGTGGGTAATAATTCACTTCTGGGACAGTACTTTCCTTAACAGGTTGACATCAGCTGGAAACCATGACATACTGTGCAGTTGTTTTGTTAAATTCTTTAAATCCTCACTGGTATTCACCTAAGACCTCGATCTAGAATTGAATTCAGGATACTAAGATTGCATGATGAATTGATTAATTAATAACAATAAACAATGTTACAGATGTAAACTTTAACCAGCTTATGAAATAACGCAGCAAACATTTACTGTCATCGGAGATAATCATCTCAGTTTTTGCTTTTTTTAACTCTACTAATAACGACTACCAACTAAATGTTAGGAAATGTATATTTACTTACGTAGGAAATAATGCGACTAGTCTTTGAGTATAGAAGTGAGTGATCAGGTCAATACAGAAACTGTAGATGGAAAATATCTAATGAATTAATGTTTATATAAGTGAATTAATTTCAAGAAATTTAAAATAATTAAGTAGATCCTTAAGTGAATCCTTCAATATTTAGAAAAGTAAATTATTTGATACTCCTTATATACCGATGTCATTCAATGAACCTATCTCAAACAGACCAGTCTTTAATAGATACAAAACATCAAACAAAGTTAAATGAATACATTAAACGGTATTTTAATAGGTATCTTAGGTAATATTTATTTTGTGAAAAGTTAATTCTGTAAAACGCTTTATAAAAATATCAACTTTTGTGAGTCATTGTAGTTTAACATTCTTGTCTTGTATTGATGTCAGCTATAGTTTAGTCAACGCAACTGTCTTGTGTTGATTATTCTGCCTTTTTTTATATAGACATAGATTCATATAACCAATTTAATATTGCACTATAATTGTTTATCTCTTGTATTTCCTTTGATAATATGCATATAGTTTGATTAGATCTTTTCATCACTTGAATTGTATATTTGACTAGTCACTTTTATTATAATAAGTAATCACTGAGGCTAAAAAAGTTAATGTTTAGTTCTGGTTAGTATTTATTGCTCATCAGATCAATAAATGTTAGATAATCATTTACGTATTCTGGAAGTCAAGATTGTATTCAGTATGTATGTAAATACAATTGTGATTACTTGTAGTAGAATTGGCAAACATTTTCAAGTTGTTTGTTTAGATAGCTGAAATAAAATTTCACAGTCTATATATTTAAAAAATACAAGCAGTAAATAATAAGGAACGTTCGTTAGGAATTCATGACTGATGTTGTTTGCCTATATAGAAAGCCATTACTAACGGTATTGAATGACTGAAAAATCGTGTTGCCAGTTGAATAATAATGCAGCACATATTATTCTACTTAAACAATGTTTAAGGGTATAAGTGTATGTCGCATCGGATTCACATAATACACATGCCTAAACCAAATACCTGTAAAATCCGAGCTACTATTAAACCTTAAATGTGTTTAAAGAATACTATGTTTTTCAGGTCTATAGTGCTGATCGAATTTTGTCGATAAAGTTTCAATATGTTTCCTAGTCTAAGGGTTGGAATTCTTACAACTTCCCGCCCTTATTTGCTGATAGGTATCAACTAGTAAGAAACCTAAGTTCAGAGTTTTTTACCAACTGTTATCTGAGTGTTGTTCACGAGATATTGGGTCACTTAATCTAGTGGCCAAGGCAAAGCTTTATTGATAGAATTCAATTAGCGCTGATGGAATAGATAGATATAATATCGGTAACTACTCAGTAATCAATCAACCATAAAATATATAAAAAAACTTTAATATTTATAATAATCGAAAAAGCATACCAAAAATGGAAGCTAGTGGAGATAATTACACTAAAATATCTGAAATTAGCACGAAAAGTAAAGGAATTAAGTTTGACACAAGAGACTAGTTAAAAGAAATAAATTGTTGTACAACCATGTAATTAAAAGAACAGCACACCAACAATATCAATAATATTATTACAAGACCGAGACTGTTAGCAATTTTGTCTTCGTCAAGGATATCCGGCTGATTATTTATACGATTTCAGTAGGTTTTCAGAGTGTTAAACAACTTGAACAATTCTAATTCACCATTTATCCGATAGTATTTAACCAAGAGTTCAAGTTGGAAGTATATCGTGAAGTAGATTAGTAGAAACACCGAATTCAACGTCAAAGGATAAGATTAAGAAATAGACATGCACTTTCAGGGTTAATGTCAAGTATTTAAATGTAAATTAAATATTACATCTACATAAATATCGTATATTGAATAGTATGACAGGTATTTAATTTTAATAGTTAATATCATGATTCAGTTGAATCTAGACCACCATGGAAAACTTGGAAGCACTGGACGGCCGTTTCGTCCCACTGTGGGACTCCTCAGTAGTGCGCATCCACGATCCTACCTCTCGAGATTTGAACCCAGGACCCATCGGTCTCGCGCGCGAGTGCTCAAGTTAATTAAAATTAACTTATAACCTAATTAATAGCATATTCATTACAGACATAAGATATAAATAAATTACAAAATTAAACCAGTAGGTCAACAATGATAATTCAAGAAATAAATAGACTTTATCACCGTTAAGTAAATACAATAAACTGTAAATGGTTTTTCGACTGCATAACTTTACGCATGCTTAACATAAAATAATTAAAGGCGTCCAGGTGATTATGAATCATCAATCTTTACTCAAAACAGTCCTTAAATATATTCATGAGGTTAATTAATAAATGGGTGGGTATGCATGTTTAAATATTTACATAGAATTTTTCAAGGGTTATAGGTTGTCTCTATACCTTATTGTAATCTTTTGTTTACTAGTATAAGCTAGAAATGAGCAAAATCAACACAGTTTATTTATGTGTTAAGTGTGAATGAGTCAGTTAGTGAATTGTTCATATGGTCATAATAGAAAAAGGTTAAATATTATTTTCTACTACGAATTGACCATAATTTTAACAAAATAAATGATAAGGAACATTAGATAAGGATTCATGACTGATGTAGTTTGCCTATATCCAGTGCTTCCAGGCTTTTCATGATGGTCTAGCTTTAATTGACTCATGATCTCAATTATTGAAAATGAATCAAGTTGAAAAGATTCAAGATTTTAATTGAACAATTTAATTAGATGGTTTACATGATCATTATGAACAAAATCACTTTCAAAACATATATGTGTAATCATATGAATTGAGTGTTAGGTTAGACAATCATAAATAAGATCAGTTCTTGTGTCATAATTTGGAAAGTAACTTAGGAATACACGCTTAATAAACCTGATAATTAAGTTACTATCTACTCAGTAAGTATCTTTGAATATAAAATTACTTTTCTAGCACACTAGTTTACTCCAAAGCTTACTTGAATAATTATATAATATATCTTGAATATAACTTTTTCAGGACATCTTAAAACTATTTTAGTCAGTTGTTATGCTATGCAATACCATTTCAATGTCATCTTACACTTTTCTCTATATATTGTTTTACTCAAGAAAATCATTTGGAATACATTATGATTCTGTTCCTTTTTTCTAGAGAACACTTTAGTTTATACTAGTAGATCTAACAGAGAAATCACTGATCTATTTGTTTTCGTTCTAAAATAAGTAAAAACAATGCTCATAGGCATTTTTCAAAATCTAAATTTGTCATCTACTACTACTATGAAGTAAAGGCCTCTCCGAGTTGACGATGTTAGACGACTCTCTGTGTTCGATCATCGCTGTCTCCGAAGGAGAAATCCAGTGACAACACCATGTTAGTAAT